TTTACTAGGCATATCAACTCAAGAGCAAGACTTCCAAGGTCCGGGGCAGCCGGCAGATGTTGCCTCATCCCCCAGGAGGGACCACACCAGTAACCCACCCAGACCTTCCGGGCTCAGGATCAGCTGCCTCGGGGGCAGTGTTATCTCCAGAGCCAGGACAGCTCACAGATCTGGTTTCTGGGAGGGCAGGAGTCTTCCCTGATCTTTGCAGAAGGAAGGGGGCATCTCTGGTCATCCTGAGCCACACCTGGCCCCTGGCCCCAGATGGCTCTGGAGGAGACAGTGAGGCTGGTGACTGCACAGCCCTCCTCACTTAAATCCTGCTCCCTTGCACATAATGGCATCACCTCCCTGATGGCATGGTCTTCTCCAAGAATGGAGGACAAACCACAGCAACGGGAAAACGGGCTTAGAAAGCCGGGGCTGACTCAGTCTGAGCCCCGGAGATGGCAGAGGCCTTCTGACGCACTCCAGCCCTGGCAGGAGGTACAGCAGCGTCTCCCCTCTTTGGCAGAGGCAGAAACGGGGGCCCTGGAGGTGAAGGGCCTTGCCCCAAACAGCCGGCTGGGGAGCTGAGTCTCATGGTCTGACGCTACGCATTCTTTGCTGCTGTCCCTGGGGATCATTGCTCCACGACTGACTTTTGTGTGACCTTGGGCAAGTCATTTCCCTGGCTGGGCCTCAGTTTACTCAACTGTCTGTGTCTATCTGTGTGCATGTTGTCTCTCCCATCCAATTAGAAGCTCCTGGAGGGCAGGGCCTGTCTTTTACCTCTTTTTGTATCTGCCCCCCAGCGCGTAGCACAGTGCCTGGCACATGATAGGTGCTTAATCAATATCGATGAATCGGTCGATTGAAGAGGGAGGGGCCGGATGCCGGCTTCCCCAGGGCCCTGTCCTGCTCCCTTCCCCAGCCCCACTTACCCGTGGTCAGGATGAGCTCCAGGGACTCGCTGTCTTTCGACCAGATCAGTGGCCCTTGCTGAAACCGGTAGCGGCAGCTGTACTTGCCCCCGGCCCCAGGCTCCAGATCTGTCAGGTGGAAGTCATTCAGCTGGGGGTCCGTCGAAGACATCGCGGGGACAAACGCCTCCTCTCCATCTTTTAACAGCTTGAATTGCAGCCCTGAGAAGCTCGTCCTGCACCGGAAGGTCACGAAGCCTCCAGGCCTGATGACCAGGTTGCCCCGAGGTTCGAGAGAGGGCTTTGGGAGGGAGGCTGGGGGAGGGGGGGAACCGAGTCGATGTCATCAGACGGATGCTGCCCGTCATCCACCCCCACCCGAGCCACTCTGTGCGCCCACGTCTGGGGCTGGCACGAAGACAAGCCCCCAGAGCTGCCCTTCCTGAGGGAGGAGAGATCAGGAAGGGAGAAGAAGCTGGTGCCTGTGAGGCCAAGGGAGGGCAGAGTGGTCCACAGGGCCAGAAGCTGCAGAAGGGCAGGCATGAGAGGACTGAGCAAAGGCGGCGGGATCCGACAAGTGGGGGCACCCCGTGCGGGATGGGAGGGAGAGGTGCCCACGGGTGCCAGGGGGCTGCCACACTTGCAGCTGACCAGTGTGATGTGGCAGTTTCCCATCTGCTAGCCTTCCTCCACCTGGTCCCTGCTCAACTCCCTGAGTGTCCTCCTCCCCCCCTCCCCCTCCTCTTCCTCCTCCCCCCTCCCCCCCTTCCTCCTCCTCCCCCTCCCCATTCTTTCTCCCCTCCTCCCCACCTTGTGTCTCAGTCTGTCTGGCCTCTTGTGTCTCCCTTGACTCCCCCAAGGCTCTCAGCACTTCCCTGCCCAGGGTTACCCAGAGGGCTGTGGTCTGAGCAGCGTTTCCCTGAGCTGGGTGTGGGCTCCTGTCTGTGGTCGCTAGCCCTGCCCTCACCTGGTATCCCGACATGTATGGTCTCGCTGGGCACCGACCTCACCCTGGAGGCCATCGTGGGGGGTCGGTACTGGCAGGTGTAGTTCCCAGGGCTCTTAATGATGAAGGTGGCTTCTGGTCTTGGGGTGTGGGAGCTGTCCACAGGCTCCTGCTCTCCTTCCTGGTACAGGTCAAAGGTCATGCCCAGCAGCCCCCCCTGGCAGTGCAGCTCAGTCTCCAGGCCATGGAGGATCCAAGGTCCGGGCTCAGCCTGGAGGGAGGGTGCTGGGAGGGGCTCTGTTAGGATCAAGAATGTTAGAGCATCTGAGAACATGGAACCTAGAACCTAGAGAGGAGTGGGGAACCTACAGCCTCAAGGCCACATGTGGCCCTCTAGGTCCTTGGGTGAAGCCTTTTGACTGAGTCCGAGTTTGTCAGAACAAATCCCTTTGTTAAGGGGATTTGTTGTAAGTTTGGATTCAGTCGAAGGGCAGCACTTGAGGACCTAGAGGCTGCAGGTTCCCCACCCCTGAAGAATATCTGAGCTCAGAACCTTAGAACAGAGGATGTGGACATCAGAAGGAGAAGGGACCTAAGAAGGCTGGACGTCTCCTTGGAAGCCATTTCATCTAACCCCTGAATTTTCACTTTTATTATTAGGAGGGGGTAGCATGCTGCGTTTTGCTCATGCAGATTATGTGTGTCCTGCCTCTGTCTAGATGTGGTTCACAGGGAGGAATGAATAGGTATAGAGATTCATGCAAACAGGCTTCGAGCTTTGGGATTTGTTGTCAAGACTATTTTTTGCCTGACAGTCACATCCCATTACCTGCTCCTTTAGCACCTTTCCTTTAAGAAAGGAAAAATTAGTTAAATAAACTGATGCAGTGACTACATCTGACTGCGTCGTAGCCCCTCATCTTACCCTCACATTGTGTTGTTTTCCTACAGAAAGAACGAGGGGCGGGGAGAGAGACAATCAAAGAGACAGAGACCAAAAGACAGAGAGAGATAGACAGATAGACACAGAGACGGAGAGATAATGAGAGAAGAGAGAAACAGAGAGGAGGGAGACAGAGACAGAGAAAGAGAGAGAGGAGAGAGAGATGGGGAGGGGGAGAGAGAGACGGGGAGAAGGAGAGAGAGAGAGGAGAGAGACAGAGATAGAGACAGAGACAGAGACAGAGAGAAGGAGGGAGGGAAGGACAGAGAGACAGAGAGAAAGAGAGAGAGAGACAGAGAGATGGGGGAGAGAGAGACAGAGACAGACAGAGAGGAGAGAGAGACGAGGAGGGGGAGAGAGAGAGAAAGAGAGAGACGGGGAGAAGGAGAGAGAGAGAGGAGAGACAGAGAGAGAAAGAGAGAGGGGGGAGAGAGAGACAGAGACAGAGAAAGAGAGAGAGAGGAGAGAGACAGAGATAGAGACAGAGACAGAGACAGAGAGAAGGAGGGAGGGAGGGACAGAGAGACAGAGAAAGGGAGAGAGACAGAGACAGAGAAAGAGAGAGAAGAGAGAGAGACGGGGAGGGGGAGGGAGAGAGAGAGAGAGAGAGAGAGAGAGAGAGAGAGAGAGAGAGAGAG